GTTTAGGGTGCGGCTTTGGGTTTCTGGGGTACAAAGTGGCGTATAGGCTGAAGAATCCTACGGCGAAGAGCAGTTCGCACCCCCAACGCCTCAACCCTAAACCCTATCAACCCGAAACCCTAGACCCTAAACCCTTAAACCGAAACCCTATAAACCCTAAACCCCAAACCCTAAACCCTAAACCCCAAACCCTAAACCCTAAACCCCAAACCCTATAAACCCTAAACCCCAAACCCTAAACCCTAAACCCTCCCTACCGACCCGAAGCCCTCCTTGCCCCCCCCCGCCTCTCGGAAACCATACGCCTTGTACCTCAAGCCTGGTTTCGAAACCCTATAAACCCTATATAAACCCTAAACCCGTAAAGCCTCTGGGAAGCCCAGGCTCCCGCGTGTGAGGCGGGTCGCTTGGCTCGTGCTTTCACAGCATCCGGCCAGCAGACCTCAGCTGTTCATGCAGCAGCTAGGATCTCGGAAGCCAACGGGGAAAGGGACTCCCAGCGTTTGTTTCGGCGTTTTAATATGATCTTGCCTGTTCCTAGGTCAAGACTGGAGGTGACAGGGAGCGAGGAATCACGACCAACCCAAGTCCCTTTCCTCAAGCTAAGTGACTATCTGCAAGTCCTCCTGAAAAAGCACCCCAAGCTCATCTTCGGGGGTAAGGAAAAAGGCGAGGCAGCAGAAAGACTGCTGGAGCTTTTTTGGGAGCGCTACAGGCTGGCCCATCCGGGCCACATCGCATTTCAGAAATGCACTGCAGACGAGCTGCGGTTCCTCATACCACTGCAGCTTCACGGAGATAAAGGGCGAGGCCACCTTAAAAATCCAGTCTTCGTATTTAGTTGGGAGGTGCCTTTTGGGGTTCCAGAGTCTATTCGGGCTTCGGGGTCTAGAACTGACAAAGCCCGCGCTCGTCGCCAGCAGAGCAAGCAGTGTCACGGAGGTAGGCTCTCTTGGACCTGCTCCCAGAGGGCCCGGGAACATGTCTCTGCAGTGGAGGTGCCCAACGAGGACACATGCTCTTTGAAGAGACGTAAGTTAGACGACGGTGAATTTGTTGAGTCGCTCCAGCACAACAGTCGTGGGCATTCCTTCCTCACACGCTTTCTGATCAGTGCAATTCCTGCGAAGGTTTTTCGGCCGAATCCTTTGGTCATTGAGTCTCTGTTCAGCGAGTTGCAAAAGGATTTGTGCCACTTGTTTGAAAGCGGCGTGGTAGTCGAGGGAATTACCTACAAAGCATGTCTAATAGGCGTGAAAGGGGACAATGAGTTCTTGATGGAAGCTGGCCGATTCAATCGGCACTACGCCCACGTTGGCACTGTCCATGACAATCCGATGTGTCCATATTGTCTTGCTGGAACAGAGGGGGTTGAGTTCAGCGATTTCTCCGACCGCCCGGTGTGGGCAAGCACACTCTATGACACCGAACCATGGGATGCACCCCCCCCACTGGTCCTAGCACCGTTCGCCGAGCACGAGCGCGCCCGGTTGTTCCGCAGAGACATGTTCCATATTCTCAAATATGGCTTCCTGAAAGACCTCTGCGCTGGCGCACTGTTCTTGCTCTGTCGAATGACATACTTCGACGATCCCCTCGGAGGAGAGTCGCTAGAGCAGGATTGCAGGCTCGGTCGGGCCTATGGGCTGTTTTCTTTATGGTGCCTTGCCGAAGGCAAGGCCACAACCTTGAGAAGGTTCAGCAAAGGTAGTTTGCACCGAAAGAAAGCCACGCAGTACCCCTTTATCGGGGGGAAGGGAGCTGACACTGTCCTTCTCATGCAGTTCTTGCACTTTTTCGTTGCGCTTTGCAAAAAGGACATGCGCGTGCCCGGTGACTTCCACGTCCTCCATGCTTTACATGAGACCCTGACTGGAGCTTTGGACTTTCTGGGCATCATGCACTCGCATGGCATTTTCCTGACGCTGGAGTGTGCAAGGCTGCAGCATAGCTGCGGCCTTTTGCTTGTCAGGGGGTACTGCTGGCTGGCACAATTCTGCATCGAAAACGGTCTTAGACTCTTCTCTCTAAGACCCAAAATGCACTATTTTGGGCATGAGTTGCACGACCTGGCGACCCAAATCGACTTGCAGCACTCTCAAATTTTATCGGCTTCGGCCTTCAATTGTGAAGCCAACGAAGACTTCATAGGAAGAATAAGCAGGCTCAGTCGTAGGGTATCCTCTCGTGCGTGTAGCGCAAGAGTGCTGGACCGTTATTTAGTTGGGGTTCACCTCCAGTTTCGCCGAGCAGGAGTCTGAGATCGAGCCAACACGTGCAATTGGGCATTGTAAGGTTGTAGTCTAGGGTTTTTGGGGTTTATTTAGGGTTTATAGTAGGGTTTTTGGGGTTTATATAGGGGTTATAAGTAGGGTTTAGGGTTTCTATAGGGTTGAAATAGATTGAAAAGGGTTTATAAGGTACATAGGGTTTATAAAGATATAGGGTTGTGAAGGTTTCTGCAAAGTACTTGGTGATGGAAGGGCTTGCAGGTTTGTAATTTCTACAGGTCTACAAAGTATATGGCTGTTGGTGATGGGCTTCGCTGCATCCTGCTCGCTCTGGGCTTGCAAACCTCACACCCGAAGGCGACTCCAAACCGTCAAGCCCGAGGACCTTAAACTCCGGGGGAACACCCAGCTTCAACCTGTCCAGAAGGTCATTTAGAACCCCTTATAAACACCCTACCATAATTCGCCCGACCACCCTTAACCCAGCGGCATCCCATCCCTGGCCTCCCTAGATGGCCCTCGCCCAAATATACCTTCAAGACGAATGTGTGGAGTCGCTGACTGCTGTGCCGTGTCACTTCCCGTATGCCGCAGGCAGCATGTCGGTCGAGTCATGGCATCGACCCCCTATAGAGATGTATTCGACTACAGCGTCGGATAGTTGGTGTATTTATGCAGGACTTTCGAGAGGGTCAGCTGCTGTTGGGTAGGGGTGGTTGCCTACTACAGTGTCGGATAGGTATGGAGTTCTGAGAGGGTCTTTGCTGTTCAGCCATTCTTCGTGTAGCGATGAGGGACCAAGATGCGAGCTGTCACGGGCATGAGATGATCAGGGTACAGGCTTATGCCAGTTTGTATGGAACCCTAACCCTAAACCCTGCCCTAAACCCATATAAACCCTATCAACCCCAAACCCCTAACCCTTATAAACCCTATAAGCCCTCAAGAAGACGCAAGCTACACACATTATATCGTTTCATGCCCAACGAACGCACTCGCATGAGTGCTGCTGATGTCGCACTGCTAGTTGTCCTGCTGAAGAAAGTTAAGAGGATGCTCAGTGACTGTTTTGTTTTTCGCTGGTAGCGTTTTTTGTCTACTCCGACCACAAACAGACTACACTTTTCAGGCCGAGCATGGCCAAGCCAAAAACTTCAACATTACGCTTTCTAGTTGAGATGCTGATTTATTTCGTCGTTTGGGCAAATGCTTCTTTTATTTAGCAGGTGGTTTGGCTAGGAAGCTCGGAAGCGAAGGAAGGAAGATCGAACTTAAGAAGATAAAGAAGGTCGAAGAGAAGGAGGCCAAGAAGGCTCGCAAGAAGGAGGCCAAGGAGAAGAAGAAAGGCAAAGAGCATAAAGACGCACTCGTTGCATCGTTGGAGGCACTACTTCCCAAGGTCGTGCCTGCGGAGAAGATCGATTTGGACTTCAGGGCGGGAACGACTACTGGATGGACATGGTGCGAGGAACAGGTGACGCAGATTGCCACAGAAATGTTTCTGGACGATGTGCTGCCTGCTCTTCCAAGTGAATTGGCAGAGTTCGGATTGAGAGCTCCTCGCATGCCATGTGTGTCATCAACCAAAGAGAAACACAGAGAGAAGCTCGCATGTGCAGCGCCGTGCTTCAACGCCATGGTTACACGTCCAGTCAACCGCAAGGAGATGTACGAGAATCCCAAAGCCATGGAGGCGTTCATGAAAGAATGGAAAGGCTTGTGGGATCAGGAAGTCTTCGACTTTAGCCAAGTGCGGGAGTATGACGACGTGGTCAGAGAAGCCAAGAAGTCCAACGCGAAGGTGCACATGGCAAGAGTGCATGGTCTCATCTATGAGAAGAACTATCAACTCAAAGAAGGGGACCCTGCAAGGAAGTTCAAAGGAAGAGGTGTGCTGCTTGGAGATCAAGTCAAAGATCAGAATATGGAGGCGGCGCTGTTCCAGGACCTCGGAAACTCTCCGGCAACCTTTGATGCGTCTCGTTGGGCCGACTTCTACGGGTGCCTACCCGGGAACGACGTTCAGATGGCGGATGCTATCCAGGCCTACATTCAGGCTAAGTTGACGGGGACTCCGTGCTGGGTTGAACTTCCAGACGAGGCTTGGCATCCTTCGGTGAACCGGAGGAAATTTCGCAGACCAGTCTGCAGGCTCGTGAAAGCACTCTATGGGCATCCGGACGCTGGTACAATGTGGGAACAACATTGTCACACCGCAGTCCAGAAGATGGGTTTTGCACCAGTTGGTGAGGAATGGCCGTCTCTTTACTTCCATGCAGGAATGAAGCTCCTATTGGTCATCTATGTCGACGACCTGAAGCTCGCCGGTCCGGCGGAGAACCTCCCGAAGGGGTGGAACATGCTTCGCAAGGAACTTCGTCTTGAGGAGGAAACTCCGCTTGGTTTGTATTTGGGATGTCGAATCTCAAAGGGAGAGGCTAAACTTCACGACAACACCAAGGTGCGAACTGTCACTTATGACATGGAAACCTATCTCGAAATGACAGTGCAAAAGTACTGTGAAACCACGGGATTTCCTGTGGACAAATTCAAGAAGGTACCATCTCCCAGTCCAGTTGAAGAAACCAAAAATCACCCGGCTAGGGCACCGTGTCATCCAGGTGCTGCAAGCCATCGGTGTCAATGGTGTGGACATACAATGCCTGTCGATAAGGGCGGACGGCTTCTACCTCCACCACCGGTTCCTAAGGGCCCACAGGAAACGGAACTCGATGAGGCAGACAGGGGTACTCTTGCCCCGCATGCGGCGAGCATCCTCATGAAGTTGCTCTATGCTGCAAGAATTTGCAGGTTTGATTTGCTGCGAAGCATAAACAATCTTGCGCGACGCATTACAAAGTGGTCCAAGAAAGAGGATGCGGCTCTGCATCATTTGATGTGCTACGTCCATCAGTCCAAAGGTCATAAGATGATCGGATGGGTCGGCGATTCCATGGATGCTACTTCCATAGGGTTGTATGCGGATGCGGATTACGCTGGTTGTGGCGAGAGTTTGCGTTCTACTTCGGGGGCTCACATGCATATTCAGGGACCGCACACACGGTTCCCGTTGGCAGGTGTCAGTAAGCGACAGGGTTGCGCCAGCCACTCTACTCCCGAAGCGGAAATTGTGGCTGCGGACTATGCGATGTCGCGTATTGGCATTCCGGCCATCACATTGTGGCGTTTGATTGGGGGCAAAGATCCTAATTTCGTGTTCTACGATGACAATCAGACGGAATCAGACGATGATCGGCGTGGTCCGCACAGGCAAGAACCCGACGATGCGCCATTTGGAACGCTCACACGGGATCTGCATTGCGTGGATGCACGAGGTGTTCCAGGAGGGGTACGTGTCTCTGGCTTACGAGGTAACCGCCAAAATGGCGGCCGATATCCATACGAAGGCCTTTAAAGACCACGTCTCCTGGGCTCACGCGTGTCAGCTAATTAACATCATGCCTCCCACGATGCTTTCGAGCGTTGAGGTCATGGACATGATGAAGGCTACACACCAACAATCGGCTGATGAGAAAGGTCATCAGCACTACTCGTTTAAGAACGAGGGTCCATGTTTTCCTTACACGCAAACACCTATCTTGCCCCAGGAGCTGTATAGGGCCGGTTTGTCCAGTAAGGAGGGTGTCCAGGAAACGGACAGTACTGATCCGATCTTGGTGGTGAAGTTCCCGCGCATGCTCCGCGGCGTCCCCAGTGCTTTGCGACCGGGGAAGTATTTGCGGTCCACGTGGATTCTGCGTGAAGGGCAATGGCATCGTATCGAGGATGAGGTCCCTATCCCGTCGGAACCTCAGAAATTCGATCGGTATGTCGAGCGCGCTGTGTTTCAATATCACTTCCAACGGGGCTCGGCGGCGACGACGCGTGTGCACCGCACCGCGTCGCCTGCCGTGTCTGCGTCCTCGCTGCCCGACTGTTCGCGCTGTCGCGTTCGCGATTCACCCGCGCTCTGTAGGCAAGTGTGCGACTTAGTGGTCCGCGCCGCCCATGGGGGGTATGGGGGTGTTTTTCGCGCTGGGTCTGAAGGCATGGGGGGTGATATCAACGATATGGGGGTGTTTTTCGCGCTGGGTCTGAAGGCATGGGGGGTGATATCAACGAAATTCCTGCGCTCGAATCTACCGTCGTCGCTGTTGCGCGCGCCGCAAAAGAAGCAGATTTTCCTCAATCTACATTCGTGCCCGAATTCATCGAGGTGACTCGTGCTGGGACTGGTAATCATGAAGTCGCTTTCCAAGACAAGCACGGGAAAGAGATGTTTAAGGCACGGAGTGACTCGCTCAGCGGGGCTATAGGGTTTTCCATGACGATCAAAGCTTCGGATGTCGAAAACAGTAGCCCTCGCGTGTGGTTGCTCGTAGGTCTGGAAGAGGATAACTGGTGGCAGACGTATGCACCGCCGGACGTCAACGTCATCTGCGTGCCGGAAGCGGATGCACGCGGCGCCTACCAGTACTGCAAAGACATCATTAAATGGTCGTTCAAGGATCTTCGGAACGTTCTGTTCATAGGAGCAGGGGCGCTGAATCGAGCTTCTTGGCTTGATGTTGATCCTAGAGAACGCTTTTATGAGGACCGAGGCGTCGTAGATTACCCCTGGGGGGAGGTCATTGATTTAGTCTTTGAGGCCCGGAAGAAAGGGGCGACTACTATCGTCGAGGTTCCTGACAAGCCGAAGTTTCGAAAGTCGGCACAGTACAAAAACATAGTTGATTGCATGAAGTGGGAGAGATTCACAATTGCTGATTGCTGCCACGGTCGGAGGATCTGCGTTCCACAGGGAAGCGGGGCCCCGAACATCGTGTATGTCAACGAAGCTACTGAGTTTCTCATTCATGGACTCAAAGCCCCTGAAAACGTGAAGGGTGTGTGCGGCATGCAACATCATCATGCATCACGTGAAGCTGTCGAGACTCACGGGGATGGGTGTGGAAAGAGAACCAGTAAAGTGTCACGCCTCTTGTTGAAAATGCTTTCTGAACGGGACACCAAGGTTGGGGATCCCAAGGCCTGCAGTTCTGTTGAGAAGTTACCGTCGGGTAAGGACAGGATGATCATTGAATTCTGTTGCTCTAAGGACAGTAGCCTGGGTAAATCCTCGAATGCTACAAGGGGAGCTCACGTCATGCGCGTGCATGAAGCTCTCCAAGCCCAAACCAAGGCATGTGAAAGCAACATCCTCAAGGAGGCGGAACGATTCCGAAAATCCAATCCCAAATGTCCGATTCTTGTGTTTGCTTCTCTTCCG